AATATTCATACGATATTAATCAAAAATTTCACGTTTTCGAACTGTCAATTAGCCCCAAGTGGAGATCGGTTACAGGTGTATTGTGTGATAAAAAATTCCCGATTAAACTAAAAAGCAAAGCAAAATCTACAAAACAGCGGTCAGACCAGCTCTTATAGCCCTTATGTATGGAACGGTGTACTGGAGGCAAAGAAAACACATGAGCAAAAGCTATACATTTCGCCGAAATGAGAATGCTAAGGTCAGCAGGCGAAACGAAATTAGACAAGGTACGAAACGAGTACCTAAGGGGTACCTTTAAGTTACAGACATTATTTTAGATATAAATACCAACTCAGTCGCTTTTTTAATAGACAAAATCTATTAGAGAAGCGACTGAGATGGTACGGTCATGTTATTCGTCGAGAGGAGGAGCACACTGTTCGAAAGGCCCTTGACATTCCAATGTCTAAGAGAAGGCCACGAAGACCATCAGCAACATGACTAGGAACCGTCAATAGAGATATGATTAAAGTAGAATTGAACGAAACGACAACCCAAGACAGGTGTTCTTGGCACCTCAGATCAAGGAGGGCCGACCTCAAATAAGGGAAAAGGTCGTGAAGAAGAAGAAGGATTGGCATCAAAAGATCATGAAATTTGATGAATACATATAATAATAAACAGCAAAGAAACGGTTACGGTAAATATTTTGATTTTGATTGCCGGCACTGAAATTTTAATAGCCGGTTTAAATGAACCACATAAAACTTCATTTGGATTTATGTGCAGATTCGAATAATATTTAAATTTCAAAAACAAACGCTGAAAAAATCACGAGTCATTAAGCAAATCTCAGAAGAATAATCAAATCTAGTATAGAATTTTACAAAACAAAAAATTTAAATTTAAATTGTAAATTTTAAAATTTTTAAATATTCGCCTTGAATTATTGATAATTCTGACATTTAAAATTGAATCACGTGATCCCTAATTTCATTGGCACAATAAAAAAGAGTTGGAATAATTTAAATATTTCATTTATGCAAATTAAAAAGAATTCGTTTCGTTCAACATTTTATTTATAAATTTTTCTTGTTCGTTCTAAATTTCAAATACACAAAAAAAAAAAAGATTTTTCTGCCATTTTTATTGACATAATAATTCACACGCGTTTAAAAAGTTTATAACATGTTCAAAAACAAAAAAGTAAAATTATTGCTTTACAAATTTCTGCTCTGTGATTTTATTTTAAATAAAGAATTATTAAGACAAGCAAATTTCTTAACGATTCTCCATCGTATTTAAAAGAATCCCGTATGTGTTTCGTATTCATCTCGTAATTAATTGCCATTAAATTTGACGCAAGAAAAACATTGTTGATCTTCGTATATAAACAATAGAACATGAGAAAAAGAATAAAAAACTTTTTCAATTTATATTCAGTAACAACTTTTAAATAACACCGTTTTAGAGTGTATGAGGGAAAAACAAAAAGAAAAATAATAAAATATGGCGCCATCACATTATGCAAAGTATTCATTAATGTTATACAAATATAAAAGGAAGAAAAGACAGTATTATATTGTCCTTCAAACCACAATATTTCTTAAGTTTAAAGTTTTCGCGTTCAGCAAAATCAGCGTTTTTTATTCATTTTTTGTTTTTCTGCTTTTGTTTTTCATAATTTTTCATTTCACTTTAAACATAACTATATTTTTCAATTGAAACAAAATTTTTATTATTATTTCATTTTGCTTATGTATATTACTTAATGTATATAAGGATAAGGACAATTTCCAACTGAAATTCTTAATAATGTAAATTCTGTGCATTGCACATGATTATTTATTCGCATACAAAATAACTATAATGACTTTAATATTTACCATTCAAGATAATGAGATTGAAAATTTATTTGAGTATTTCATACATATTAAAATTAATGTCAAAATTAAAAAACAAATATGTATGTACAAAAACACAAACTTAACTAAGGGCTTAAATAGACACGTAATTTTAAGCTTTGCAACTGTTTGATTGCTTAATTGTATTACATGGGTTTAATATATAAGCATTTAAACATGCAAATGTATGATCGCATGCAATTAAGCAATCAAACAGGTTGTATTTTTTTACAAACCAATTACAACTTTCAGCTGACGCAATCAATTTGAATCGACGCCACAGTTTAGTTGCTTATCGATGTGCGCACATCGATTTTATAATCAAGCAGTAATTTCAAAACTAAAAATTGGATAAAGAAATAATTTTGGAAGCAGAGCTAATACAAACTTAGCTCTGCTAACTCATGAAAAACCTTATTGCTTATTTATTCAAGGAATTTAACTAAATTCAAAACATACACATGTTAGATCTCGAAAACGCAACTTCGATCACGGAGATGTCAATATTGTCTGTCATCGAACAATACTGATATTTCAAACATGTTTTCACTCACCGCACACATTCCATAAGGAACAAAATTTAGACTCATTACCTACCATATCGTAGCCTTAGTTTAAAAATAGTATGATGAATAATTTTTCTTTGTAAAGTACATATATACATAACATGACCGAAAACGATTTTGATGGAAATTTTTTATTTTCCCTATAAACAAGCAAGTGATGTTTATTATAAATAGCTATAGCTAAGCTATATGGAATAAAAAATTAAGTTGATTCTTTTTTCTTTTTCTCTTTTCTTCTATTATTTTAATATGGGTGAGTTTAAATACTATAGAGATTTTCTAAAATTCTAAAGACATACAAAGCCTTTTAAAGAAGAATTTAAATAGCACTAAATTTAATCATGCATTTATATAAACATTATTATGAAATCCTCTATAAAAAAATAAAAAAACGAAAAAAATATGTAAGAAAAAAAATTTCTTTTATGAAAAATCATTGAAAGCGTATGTCGTTAAGAGGGTAATAAGGAAAATGTATCATAAACTTTCAGGATAAAAGAATATTTATTTTTCCATAATTTTCGACAAAATCATACAAAAGAAAACAAAATTAACTTTAAATGAATCTGTATAGAAAGAGACAAAATGAAGGAAAGCAAAAAAATATAAACTCGTCGTAACTCGTCGTAACTGTAAAATCCATCCAACGTGAATCAAACCATATGGTACCAAAAACTACAAAGAAAAATATGAAAAAAAAAAAAATGTTACAAACAATAATAAAATATTCAAGAATGAAAAAAAAACTTTAATTTTTTCTTTTAAAAAACACGCCACCGTCAAAAAATATAAACGACAAACAAGTTATTTTACCGTTATTTTAATAACAGTTACATAAACCTCAAATATTCCAAACACAAATATTACAAAAAATGTAAAAAAAATTGAAGAACATCAAGCTTAATTATCATCACATATATACATAGAAGCATAATAAGCATGAAATAAAAATTATGTTCTCCTAAAAGCAAGCAATTTTTTTTAATTTTAAATTTGTAAATTTCGCAGCTTTGTTAATTATGGCACGCACTGCTGTGCAAAACTTCGTATTCAGTTATAACTTGCTAGAATTTGAGACCATTAGGAGGGGAGACGCAAGCTCGTTATGTCAAATTAAAAAAAACTTGACAATACATGAATACGAAATACAAGTATGGAACACTCTCATATGTATATACATACATACATATAGTATACCAAAATATCGTACGTGATAAATTAAAAATAATTAAAATCTCATGATATCAGAATAGAAGATAAGCTCATGGAATATTAAAAACCTTATGGGACAAATTATATATAACACTTGAAATGAAATGAAAAATTGTTTCTCGCAGTGTTCTTCTTAGCTTATTCTTACACCTTCTTTGCAGGTTTTTTTTCCCAAACTTCTGAGATTGATCTATTTTTTTTTTTCAATTTTTCATTTAAAGCTTACATATTTAATACGGATATTTTTATAAGATTGATTAGGAAATTATTTGAAGTCTTTAAAAAAAACCAAAAAAATTTTTTTTTATGAAAATTTCTAAGAATTTAATATAAAAGTTAAAGCAATTGAGTATTTTATACAATACACGCATAAATAAAATATCACGTTAAAGTCAAGCAAATTATAAAATCGGGTTTATGGATTTAGAATTGATTAAACCTAATATAAAATTTTTTTTGATTGATTGTATAAAAATTATTGAAATTGTGAATGAATGCTTGTTCGTAAACATGTCATAAATTTTCATCCTTGTCAATGATGTGAGTATAAAAATAGTACTCGTATGAACACTTAATTATTTTATAATAATGATTTTCAAATAGTGAAAATATCTTCACTTTATATCCTCACTATTAAAATAAAAATCATATGAGAAATTTTGAAATTTAATACCGCAAATAGGATAGTGTCAGAACACCTTGAGTAAATTGTTTATGGCTCCAGGTATTCACACTCCATTACTCAATACGCTTAATAGGCTATAGTAGTAAAATTTATCGATTACCCTTCAGAAATTAATTCATTTATTAATTGCGAAAAAGTTTTCAAAATGAGATGCGGTATCTGCTCGTACAGAGTTTACATACTACATATTATTAAGAAGAAGCACTATATATGGGATGATTAAATAATATCAGATTTAAAATTAAATGAAAGACAGAGGGAAAGCACCAATTTACATTAGTGTAGACGTCAATTATTTTTTTACATTTTTTTAACTGCCTTCACCCTCTCAGAGATTGTGTCACTCAAAATGTTGCACACTCTTGCTTCCAGAGCTATGTATACATTAACGTTTCGTGTATCACGTTGATGCACTTCATTTTAATTAATATTGGTTTTATCTTAATTTTTCAACCAATGCCTTGTAGTAATTATGGAAATTCTTTTTACAGTGCAGGAGCACCCCTTCAGCTCTATTATAATTATATGTTTAAAATTATGCAAAATGAAAGTAAATATTTTTTACTCATTTACGTTTTCATAAATAATTAAATATTAATTTTTTAACACTAATTTAATTTAATTTTCTGTTTATATTTTATTTTTTTTCAGAAATGGAGCTATGAAATAATTTTGTACAAAAATATTTATTGTAAATATTAAAAAACCTTTAAATAACACCAATTTATTAGCAATTAGTACATAACCGACAATAAAAAAAAAAGTTAATCAAGCAGTAAAAATTATTTTATAATTATAAGAAAAAAATAAATTTGAAAAAATTTTTTTAAATACTTGAAATAATTTTTGCTGGCCAAAAATTATTAAAAATTACCAAAATAGAAAACTTTAAAAAACAAATAACGGAATAAAAATTAAAATAATTTTGAAAAAAAATTCAAATTTTTCAATTTGCTCACTTTTACATTGAAATTTAAAAAAGAGAAAAAATACAAAAATAGAAAATGGATCTTAAACATTCCAATCCAAATATTGTGGGTGCATCAACAGAAGCATATTTACCCGGCAGCAAATCAACAGATTTAATAAAACCAAAAGGATCAGTAGAGGAATTAGGTAAAGCACAAGGTAATGAAATTTTTATTTTCCGTAAAAGTAAACAAAATGAAAAAAAAAAAAAACAATTTTACACTATAGAGCCAAGGTAATTTTTGTTTATATGTAGTTAAAAACAAAAAAAAATAATAAAATATTTTTAGACCTTACTCATAATTTGGCCCTAATTACAACTTCGAAAACACAATAATTAAAAATTTTCAAAAAACAATATTTTTCATATGTATTTATTTTATCATGGCTCTACTGTGTATTTTTTTAAAAATAAAAAAAATTTTTAAAATAAATTTCATATTAAGTTTTTACTCGGTAACGTTTACAGTAACGGTAATTATAACAGAAAAAATAGGTAATAATTCAACTCCTACAACAATAACTACAACTACAATATTAAATAAAGATAAAATAGGTAATAAAAATATTAAGAAAATTTTCGAAATATAAAATAAAAAAAAACAAGTAGAAGAGAAAAATTTTGAATTATTTTTCGCACACACGTTTTATAAATTCCCCTCTAGATGCGACACAAATTTGCTCTATTATTAAGGTACAACCCTATTTATATACTATGCAAATATTATATTATGTAATACGCACATACATGTATAAAAACAAGCTAAACAAACAATCCAACAATTTTTTTTCTTTGATTGCCTTTTTATTAAAATTCAAATTTTGTAAATTAAAAAAAAATCAAAATTAAATGCTTAAAAGTTGTAAAAGCCTTGATCCCAAAATTTTAATTCGAAAAATGAAAATTTTTGGTTTCACTGCAAAAATTCGTTATTCGTTATTTAAAAATTATTATTAAATTTAAAATCGTTACCCCAAAAAAACAAATACTGAAGAGCATGTCACCACCAAACAAAAAATTAAATTATTCAATTTCACAACCATTAAAAAACCAAAAAATGATAATTAAAATATTTTTATTGCAAATTATCATCACACCCCTGGCTTCATTTCTTTCTATATTTTGACATTTAGAATATTATTATTATTACCATGCACAATTTTAGAAAATTAGTTTTAAAAACCTATATTTAAAGAACACACACCAAATTTATTTATACGGTATTCAAAGCAATTTAGTAAAAAAAAATTTTTGGATTTATAAAATGATTGTATTTAATTAAATCATGTTTTTTTTATTTATTGTATGGAATGCAATGTTGCAGATTTTAAAGTGTACAAAAGAAGATGGGCTGTGTTAATATTATTTGCATTTTATTCCGCGTCAAATGCAATGCAATGGATCCAGTACAGTATTATTAACAATATTATAACAAAGTAAGTACTTTTGTTTTTATTTTTGCGTACATTATATGTATATTATTTAAATATAGGGTATGTTTTTTTAGAGCTCTTTGGAATTTAATATTGCAAGAAAATAATCTATAATCCAAATTTTAATTAAGACTTTTTGGTTCATCAGAATATTAATATGGTTGCGGACTCTCCTGTGTGCTCAATGCAATTTGGTTGATTTGATGACATTTTCCAATCATATCTACTAACAATAGGCTTTTAATGTATTCCGATCACAATTATCAATAAATTCCAGCAGAATACCAGCCCGTTCAACTATTGACCTCTTCATTTGTTCTTTCTTTTTTATACAACCATGCACATATTTAACTATATTGCAAAATCTCTAACAATTTGATTACAATTCGGTGAAAAATAACCTTAAAATGAATATTATTTGAAATTTTAAATAGGAACGATTTTCCAACAAAAATATTATCTACAATTCATTTTAATCTTATAAAAATTATTCATTGCACATACTTATGTATAATAACTCGCATAAAAATACAGCGTGGGGTGATGCTCTAGGGGTGGTACCCTTGAAATGTTATTTAATCTGATTTTTTTTTAACGTTATCTTTCTTTTTATTCTTCATCCTATGTTCGTGTTATGAATATAAAATTTTAATCAAAAAATATACGGAATTTTTTCATACTAAATTTGTAAATTATATTAAATCAAAAATTTCTTTATTTATATTAAAAGAAAATGAATTACTTTCAGCCCTCGATCCATGTAATTTTTTAGGATACTTTACAATTTTCAATATAAATAAAAAAAATAAAAGAAGAAATTAAATCGAAAATTTCCTTACACTTTTTCATGAAATTAAAATGAAAGACAAAAATTTTCCATTATCGGCTAAAATAATAAAAGATCATAAATATAAACAAAATCTTAAAGATTTTCAATTTCACCTTATAGTGGTTTATTCTAATTTATTATGGTAAAGTCGTTACGGTCAGTCACGAGGTTATAATCACAAAATCTTATTACTACAAAATTTTCTTAAATTAATTCTTTCTCCTAAGACCTAACGAAAATGAACTGTTTTGGAAATATCACGGTTTTAATAAGCAGCAAAATTCTTGTATAATTATAAATATCCAATTGTCTTGTTATATTCGATTTTATTATAACCGAAACATTGTGTAATATTGAATCTGGGCTAAACGGATGATCTCCAACTGGGCGGCCTAATGAATTAAAAGAAAATTATCGAGATTCCTCCCATATTTTTTCAGGTAACCGGAACGTATGTGCTTTGTTATTACTATCGGAAGTAGATACAGTTTGACTTGAGCTAACTAATATTCATAAACTATAAAATAATGATACTCGTATAAATTACTGTTCGAGCGTTAAAAAGGTTCATTAATCTCAATGTTATCAACACATTTCCAACCAAACGGAAAAAATTTACTTATTGACTTCAATCTGTCTATCCTTTTATTTATCCGTTTATATTTTCATCGGTCTCTTATTCTGCCATCCTTACTCTAGATTATCCTTTCTTCTGTACATCAGTTCATCTATATGAACCTGTCTTTTCTTCCGTCCATTCGTTTTTACATTAGTTCATCGATCAGCTCGTCATTCCACTTACCTTTTCTTCCGTTCGTTCTTCTTACCCTCCAGTTGTTAGCAAATTAAGTTAGACCTCACAATATATTAAGTCTAGATATGTGCAATAAGAGGAAATGAAACGACAATTTCTATTAAAATATATGTATAATTATTTATAATGGCTCGTTGTTTAAGGGAGAAATGTTCCACTTTACAAACCCATCAATTTAAATCACAAATTTTTTCTTTCCTTCAATCTTTTTAATTAATTTTAGGGCACATTACGCCAAAATGTACAAATTATGAAATTAATTCTATTTTTACCAAATTAGGTTGTTTAGAAATTTCGTTTTTCTTGTTTTTTGTTCTTCATTTTCTTCTTCTTCTTCTTGTTTTTAAAGGACATAACAATTAAACAATTATGGAACATTAGTATTTATTTTTGTATTTAAATAGAAACATGTGCGAGCGTTTGTATATAGAACAAAAAAAAATTAACATTATGACGTTTTTATATCCTTCGGTTGAATTTCAGTTTAAATTAAAAATTGAAAATTATACGTACAATTTTTCTTTTTTTTTACTTTTTCTTATACCAATTTTAGAGAAGGTATAATTTTCCACTTGAGTATTTAATATTAAACGTTTTTCAAATTAAATATTATGCTAAGTTCAACATTTTCATATTGTATAATACCCTTAAGGAGAATCTATCCTTCTTATACTGTATGTATTTTCGTGTTTGTATGTATAAGATATAATGTAAAAAATTATAAATATTTTATTTTATATAGCTAGTATACAAGATCTCGAGGATTTCGAGGATTTCCCAAAAGAACCAAAACAGTAAGAAAATGAAAGGAGTATTAGCATTAATATAAAACTTTCTATATAACTACATTAAAAAGAAGGAATAAATTATTGTTGCTCTGTTACTGTTGTTATATACTACCGCTATAATAGTTGAATTTTAAGAGATTTCCAATTTAATTTCGAAAGAATATTAAAATCATGTTATTTATTATGAGTTTTTATTTTTTTGAATTCATGTATCGTAAAAATGAATAATAACAGTGTGAACCCTAAAGGATATTTTTCCAAATTATATCAAATGTAAAAGGATATTGCTTTGCTATATTACAATTATAAATGTTGATTCTCGCAGTTAGTGTAGGAACTGTGTAACATTTTTTAATTAAATAATTTCTTTAAGTAATAAAATATTTTATATAGTAATTCATACTAACACTAACACCATTCAGTAAATTGCCAACATTATTACCAATATCTGCATATGCAAGAGTGGATATCTCATACAATAAGAATATTATCAAAAATCTTACAATATTTTGCTTATTCAACAATTTTAAATTTGTAATTTTTGTTAAAAACTTTGAAATTTTACGGTCATCACACATAGAATTTTAAAGCAATTTAAAACAAAAAATAAAATTTAATTTGAAAATGTTAATGATTTTTTGTGTATTTTTGCTACAAAATCAAGTATATAACAATAACAGTATTAAAAGAAATCTCGTTTTCCATTTAACATTTCATTGTTTTGTTTCTACTATTTCCTGTAGATATGCTGATGGTTTCAATATTTGATAATCCTTTTCTGGTGAATGAAATTTCAAATTTAAGGCAGATATTTTTGAAAATTGGCCGCAGTTAAAAATTAATTTTGTTCCGTTAAGGTCTACATTTTTTTTTAAATTGTTTCCTCCGTCTCAAAGAGATTTGCTTTGCAACTCGTATTATAGTTTGTTCCGAGTTATAGGTTTTATTTGACCACTCTGGGATTTTGTTCGACAACATTTTTTACTTTAAAGAATATGTAAAATATCTTAAAATTCAATTGAAAGTTGTTAGAAAGTTAAAATGAGTTTTTACACAAAAAAGATGCCAGAATATCTTTTTGTGTAAAATCTCATTTTAATATTACATTGTTTATCCATGAAAAATGTATTCTATTCTATAGATAAAAGAACATTTTAATAAATGAAAGACACATGATACAAAATTCATCAAAATCACAATCCAGAATTAAATTAAAAAAGATAAGAAAATTCGAATTTCAAAATTCATATTTAATATTTTTAATAGATTGCGTTAATAGATTGTTCACACACTTTGATGCTTTTCAATCACGATTTAATTTTTATTTCAAGTTACATAAATTAATTTCAAAATAAATATGTAGGTATTTTTTCAACTTTTATGGCGATAAAACAGATTAGAACCCATTTTGTCTTGTAATTATCGTTGACTTCAATCATCTTAAAATTAAAACCCTAGATTAAAGCTTGATAAAATGTAATAAGAGCTTTGTTTTTGCTGATATTTGTAAAAGCCACTTACTTACAATTTATACACCAAATTTAAGATTTAGAAAAAAATAAAAAAAAATTGACGAAAAATATCCTTTCAATTCATATCCTATCCGTTTTCATTCAAGCATAAAAAAATTTTTGTAAATTGTAATAGAAAACCCAAAAAAAAAAAGGAAATTTTCTTTTATTGTGTTATCCTTCAAATTTTATATTGATGTGTTTAAGTATTTCATCCTTGTTTCAATTCTTTTTTTTCTTCTCTTATCCTTGAATAAAACTTGGTAGATTTTTTTTGTTGCTTTTCCCTTCACTTTATTTTTTACAGTTCAGTTCAATAATACTTAGATAGATATTTAGATTTCAGATTGACAAGAGTCAACTTAAGCCTAATTCGCTACAGCCATGGACGCTAGTTGTAGCACCCGGCCTAATATAAAATGCCTTCAGGATACTTCATGTGTAATCATAATATAATATTACAGGCGCAATATTTGCCTCCTTACCAATAATTAGCAAAATTATAGGTTATGCTAGTCCGAATTATTTCATATTCTAAATTCTATTTCATTTATTCTATTTCATTTATTCTTTTCAGAAACTTCGTCAAAAATGTTGTTTCTCAATCTGACAGCCCCCTTTCTACCCAATTTTAGAGGATAACAAACTGATGCTACTCATCATCTTTCCGTTTAATAAAATCGTATTCATTACTTTCTTGTAATAACCATTTTTTTCAGTTCCCCTACTGTACTAAAAAATTAAATACATGATTTATGCTAAATTGTTGATATATGCGTTTGAATTTGTGTATTTTTCAAACTGAGATGATATTATGATTGTTTGTCAACGATAAACAAGAAAATATTGAGAATTAAAGTTGAAAAGAAAAATTCAAAATTGAAATCATAAATTCTCAAAAAAAAATAAAGAACAAGAAAACAAGAAAAATAAATAAAAACAAACATAAAATACTGAAAAACAAAAATAAAAACAGTTGTAACTGTTAAAAAAAAAAGTGTAAATAAACAAAAAAATTTTTGTCGGCTTAAAAATCAGGGAATTTTTCATTGGATTTATGAAATAAATCCAAGCAATTGTAAGGATAACCCCTAAAAAAAAATAAAAAATTTTCCAAAACTCAAACATGAATAAGTACTTTGTGTTGTTCACATCCTCAATGAAAAAGTTCAACAACAATGGAATAGGGTGCAAATCTTCTGAATTTGAAGGATCATATTGTTTATGTTTTTGTATTTTTGAAATGATAATCTGAGCTTAAATCATGTTCATTCATACTGTTTGTCTTCTTTTCTTAAAATCACAATTCCTTTTTAAAAATCCTTTTATGTAAAATGATTGATAGAGGTCGTATTTGCAGCAGGAAGAATCTAAAATTAAACAACAACAAAATAATAAGTGCGAGTTAAAAATTAAGTTTGAAATATTTAAAAATATATTTTAATTTGATACGCAAGGATTAAAGTTTGAAATTAGTATTGAAGTTTTAATGTTCGTAGTTACAACAAATTATTTCAAGCCCCCATTTATAACAAAAACAATTGTTAAGGTTATTAAATTGTGGAATACAATTCTCCAAAAACAACAGCATGGTTAGAAAATTCCATTATTTTTTTGAGTAAAATCAGCAAAATGTCAGTAAAGCTTCCTGATTTCACGGCAAATATGGACAAATTGCAAAAAAAATCTGACAAAATTGAATAAAATTTACTCCGCCACACTTTCAAACAATTTTTTCCAATGTTACTGATTTCTTTTGTTTAGATTTATAACTTAATATAAAATATTCTCTACATATAAAATTGATCATTATAGAATTATTTTCTCAGATTAAAATATATTGGAAGAATTTTTTCTATAATATAGTCCTTAAATTTTTATATAATACAAATAACATGATTTAATCAATGAAACCACAAAATATCTAGGCAAGTTTCTGCCCAAAATTTGTTAAAATTTCTCTCTATAAAATTAGTTTAAACATTACTTTTGAATATTGTAACAAAAAACAAAAACAAAATATAAAAAAAAGGTATATCCTTCCTAAAGGATAACGGCAATCATTTAACAAAAGAAGAAAAAAAAGGTTTTTTGAATAAATTTCCTTTCGGTTGTTTTCATCCTTTTTGTAGTTTTTATACTCCTTTGTTGTGTTTTCCCTCTTTAGTTTTTCCTAACTCATATATGAGATTTATAATCAATAATAATAATACACGAGTAATGGATTTGACCACATATATAAAGTACAAAACTTTTCTTTTTGAAAAAGAGCGAGCCAACAAACTTTTCGAAAATTTTCATTTTTGTTCTCCAATTTCTTTTGTTTTTTTATTGTTAGTTTCAAATTAATTCGCTTTATTTTATAAATTTATTTTTCAATATTTTTATAGATATTATGGAGTAAGTGGAACTTGGGTTGATTGGACATCTATGATTTATATGATTTTATATATCCCACTGATATTTCCTGGCAGTTGGTTCCTCGATAAAATGGTATAAAAACGTCAATTTTCTTCACTTTTATTAAATTTTTAACATCAATTTCATTCTAATATTGCATGAATAATTTATTCATTATTTTTATATTATTGTTAAATATAGGGTCTCAGAATAACGGCACTTGTTGGTGTAATAGGAACATGTACTGGTGCTTGGATAAAAGTATTTTCAGTGCAACCAGATTTATTTTATGTTGGTTTTATTGGTCAATCAGTTGTTGCACTTTCTCAGGTAAATTTCAATATCTACAAAAAAATTTTAAATATTAAAATTTTTTGATAAATTAATGAACATTTTACGTATCTTTTATAGGTTTGTATTCTTTCATTACCGGCAAGGGTGGCGGCAGTTTGGTTTGGTCCAGATCAAGTATCATCAGCTTGTAGTGTTGGAGTATTCGGTAATCAGGTAAGCCATTCTCATTTTAAACGTTCAAGTAAGGGTCATCTTATACGCCTATATAATTTGAATTGTGACGCTATATAGCATAAATAAAAAGATAAATGAAAAGAATAAATGAGATAGAATAATTTCAAAATTTTCATATTAAAAAATTCTTTGGAAAAATTAAGTAAAATCTAAGTTTAAAGATGCAACAACTATAAAATTTAAAATCATAGTTAACAATTCCACTTATTTAGCAAAAATATTAAACTCTTACACCATCTTTTTAAACTCTAACGAAACAAATTTCTCAAAAACTCTTAATTAAAACCCTAAAATACTTTGTGGTATGTATGATGAAACGAAAGGTCCAAAAACTTTTTATGTAATTATAATTTAATAAAGTCTTATTTAAAAATTCACTGAATTTTCAACTAAAGGCATCTCTCAACTACCAGTTACATTATAAAATTCTGCAGCATATGCATTTTAATATTAAAAGTTCTTTATCTATTCTGCAATATTTTTATTCTTACACCATATTCAATTACTGTAAAATTTTCATCAAATTTGTAAACAATTTTATTAACAATTTTGATAAGTGCATGTTGTGTCTATTTAAAGTACAAAATAATGCAACTATAACTTTAGATACAAAATTCCTATAAATGTTACAAAAAAAAAATATAATCACTTAAAATGTTGGCTCAAAATCCGGAACAGGAAATATTTAATAGCATAAGTGCATTATATGCTATACAATTTGCTATAAATTTTATAAATTGATGCAACCAACACCAAACACATAAATTTTGAAATTTAATTGATTTTCTAGAAAATAAAATACAATGCAGTAGCAAATTTAAAATTTATTATTCTAATAAATAGATTTGAAAATGATATTTTTGAAATGAGTGGGATTCATTTATTAAAAGTTATTAAAACTTGCAAAACATGAGAGTCAATTTTAATTTATTCAGTTGATATTCAAATTTGAAAACGACACCAAATTTTTTAAAGTAGAAAACCGATTTTCTGATCTGTTTTTTGGAATAAATTTTTTGAATCCGTAATAAAACGCTAGAAAGCATTAAAGTTTCCCCAAATTTTTCCAAAAAAATATCAGTTATAAAGTAAAACTACAAACCGTTCCAACTTTAGCACATGTCCTGCCGAAGCAAGATCAACATCTCATATACCACCGGTTTTCAGGGAGTTTAACTATTAGATTAGTATTAAAGGCTAACCTTAGATGATCGCTTGTCCTGGAATACTTATATAACAGGATCATAAAGAGAGCAACGACGGCCTAGCCTTGCTAGGCAAGGTGGAACAGGTGAATGTGCAGGTTAACTTGTGTAAGTGGCCGAGGCTGATTTGTCTGGGAGTGACTGGAGCAATGCGAAACACTCTCACAGCTGCTCTGGGAGCAATCGTTGTACTGCCACCGTTGCACCTCTACATTGTTCGGGAAGCTTGGCTAAAAACTTACCAACTTCTTACTAGTGATGATGTCGCAGGAGAAAAATTGGTTCACGACACTTATAGGACTTTTATTGAGAACGACACCTAGATTAATCATTGCATTTCCGAAATATTTTTTGATAGTACTGTTAATTATGCAATTTCGAAACGCTTTTTTTTTTGTATTTTATAAAAGATTTAAATTGTGTGAATTTTCCCTTTTCCCTTTCCCTTTTAATTAAATCCAGTAATAGTCATGTGTTGCTTTTGTCACTTTAAACACATGGAACAATTTGAAAATAGGGAGGATAAAAATCGCAAAATAAAATTTAAAAGGGTGAATAAATAAAACGCGTTTAAATGAAAATTTCTATGCAATTTGCACGTTCTCTTTAGAAAAAGCTTAACAGTCATTCGTGCCGAAATTCAAATGAAACAGCACGTAAAAATTTATTTAAACTACAACTATCTCTTTCTCATAAAAAAAGAGAATTATTAAATATTTACTTTGTATTTTGATAGCCAAAGTGAAGAAGCTTCAGAATTTTCTTCTTTACCATTTTTTTCCCAAAGTACAAGACGCTCTAATTTTTTTAACAAACACCTACTTAATACAACTTTTTTCTACCCATGTAGTTTTATCTTATAACAAATTTCACACGTTTTTACAAAAACTAAATTTTTTCTTTTTGAAAAAGAAAACTTTTTTCCTCAATTTTTTTACGAGCAGAAACTTTACCATAAAATTCAATTTAAACATATAAAGAAGCAAAGAGAAAATATATGGAAGCGGGTAGGGGAGCAGGCGTGAAAGTCAAATTTAAAAAACGAGAAAAAACTAATAATGAAAACATAATATTAAATGGTATGTACATGTAAAGGATAATTATGTACAAATATAAAAGTTATGCAACTTTTCTTCAACCGCACTCCCCCTCCGCGCCCTTCTGTTTGCGACAAGATGCTTAAAATAATCAGACTTTATATTTAACTTTAATTTCCCACAATTTCTTATATTATTTTTTATTCTTCTTTTTTTGTTTTTTCATACTTTCTCGTCATAAAACATCATCCGATTTCCGTTGCCACATCTTTTCTTCTTGTTCTCACTTGTTATTTTTACCAGATACAATTTTGTACTTAAAATTGAGAATTATTTACCCATTGAGAATTTGGAACCTGCAATGTATTAAAATGTTAACGTTGGTATATTGTGAATAATAAAAATAATTATAGTTATAACAGAACAGTTTTTTCTTTAATTACTTCATATACTATGAAAGAATCTTGAAAATTAGAAGGAAGAATAATGCCGGAAGAAAATGAAAGTCAACAAATTTTAAGCAACAGAAACAAGAAACTTAATGTTAACAAAATTACAACAGTAAAAGAAGGTTTTTTATAATACAAAATACGACAATGTTACCAGTGGCAACAAAAAATTTGAAATAGAAATGCCATAAGTAATGTCATTTTGTAATTATAAAAAAATATTCTAACAAAGTGTAAGCTTATCAAAAAATATTTATATTCTAAATTATAAAATGAAGACTATAAAATCAACAATAACAATTTTTTCATATTATTTTGGCATTAGTTAAAAGAACGACTAATTTGACACAACAAAAAATATGCAGCCCTTCCAATTTTATGTTATACCTGTAAAGATGGTGATAATGCATATTTTAAGTGATTTCAAAATTACGACTATATATCCAAGTACGACGCTTGTAAACTCAAAAAATTCCCAAATTTTCGGAGTCAAACAAGAATGGAGGCTTTTTCTGAAATATTAAACTAATATTATTTTTTTTTCTGCCTCTGTTCCTGCCAACACAACTTCTCATATATCGCTGATAAAATATAGCTGCATCTTACGTGTAAGTCAGTTCATAGTCTAAAACGTTCCGAAAACGTCTGTGCGACAACTCTAAATGTGTCTCGAACCAGAAAGAGTTTAATATAGAATTTTTGTCAAAAATCTAATTATACATAAAAAGAAGAAAAACCGACAATTCTCAATTTGCCATTGAAAAATTTTAAATAAATAAACGCGTCATCTTAATTTAAATATTTTGCTCTAACTATACAAAAATAGTTTTCTACATATTTCAGAGGCGACAACGAGAAAACTGAGATGTAAAACTAAGATGAATTTAATTTTCAAAAACAAATTAACCTATAAAACAAAAATTATTTTACATTAATTTCTTGTTTTTCTTTTAGCAAAACAGAAGAGAAAAAGGATAATTTAATATAATTATTTAATCAGTTCAGGATTTAAAGGATTATTATTTACATTCACACTTATTATTTTACTATGTGTATGTCATTGAATATTTTAGTTACAAAAAAAAAGTTCAAATTCAACGTCGGTGAACCCGTGAAACCAAAACCCAAAATAAACGACGCACTAAACACAAAATTATTTTTAAATTGAATTTTTTTCCGTAAAGTGTGTTTAAGGCAAAATTTACAATTTGAATTTTTAATTGGTAAAATTAAATTTTAAACTAGATATTTTATATAATGATAATTTTAACACTAAGTTCATTAAATTTTAAAACAATTTTCGAATGCGTCATAATTTGTAAAACTTTTTCGGGGTGTTAAACTGGGTTATTGCGGTCTTCTTGTTTGATACAATTTATAATAAATGGATTGTAATATTTTATTCACGTAAAATTTTAAGACTGGATCTTGGCGGTAATTTGGAGAACTCTTTCATAATTCTTTTGGAGACCAAAATAAAAACGAGCTCAAGAACTCTTGTCTTTCATCTCTTTTCCTTTAACTGGTACACCTTATTGATAAAGGAGAATATTTTTTTGGTTTTTTTTTTAAACCGTTATTTAAATAAAACACCTGAGATTTTTTATTTTGCACGAGGATTAACAGTTTTTTAATCCTACTGCTTTAACTTAAAACTTAAGATAAAGTTGATAATTTCTATTAGCTTATTGAGTGATTATTAAGGAGCTAAATGAAGATGAAAAATAGTGTTAAACTGTTACGTTTTTTTGTTTTTGTTATTTTTTCATTTTAATCTCTTTAGTTAAGTTGTTAAGTTTAATTACCGTTTAAAAAAGAAAAGACTGCGACTTTCATTTTAATTTTTTTCCCCTTTGTAAATGAAAAGATTTTTCTCTTATTTTCAGCATTGAATTTTCTTTTGTCCTTCTAGTTTCTTTTTTCTTTATTATTTATTCTAATCAAGAACTTTTAAATCCTTTTCAATTCTACTTCATTTAAATGGTAAAAACCTTTGTTTCTTACCTTTGTGTTAAAGGTTTCTATTAGTTTACAAAATTTACCCCAGGGGCATCTGTGACCATTTAAAAATTATTTTCCTGTTATAAATACAAAAGGAAGAATGGCAATTTATCAAATCTTGAAAGAAAATTTTTTGTTTTAATAAGAAAATATGAAAATTATCAGTGAGTGCCCAATTTCTGAACAAATTTTCGGACAATTTATGCGTTTTCTTAAGCAACTTTTTAAAAACTATCAGTGAATTTTAATTTTTAATTAAAAAATTTTTTAAAGTGTAAAGAAAACTC